TATATATATATATATATATAAAATGATAAAAACATATTTTTGAAGAAAGTAAAATGTGCGACATAGTAACAAGTTATAACATAATTAATTTTATATCTGCGTAATTTTGCGATTTTTCATAGTTTTAAGATTTTTATCGCTATGTTACTTGAAATCTGTGTCCTGATTGCCCGTTGTATTTATAATTTCTATGCTCGTTTATGCATGAACTATAATTACAATTATAATACAGTTATGATGTTTGCTGTGTTGTTTCTTAAATGTAATCGTCAGTTTGCTTCATCACTTTCATAATCCAACGCACATAATTGGATAGTCTGGCGTATATACCAAATTTACCGCGCTTGCCACAACCTTCGCCAAAACTAGTGATACCAAAAATTGTCCACGGATGTTCAGGTTTCCGAGGATCTCTGCAGAGCAGAGGTCCCCCACTGTCACCCGCACAAGAGTCCATTTTACCACGGCGATAACCCGCACAGAACATGTTATCCGTTATTCTATAATCCACGTAGACCTCTCGACAAGTCTCGGGAGACACTATTGGAACCTATAAAATTCAATTTAACATTCGTATTATTTTTCGAAAATACACAATTGTCATTGTTGGCTCATTATTACTTTATTACTTTAGAAGACGAGGTCTATTTTTAAAATCTTACAGTTTTTTCTTAAGTAAGATTTGTTATAATTCATTATTTTTCATTGTATTCTTTAAAATATAACATTATTTCTCTCTCAACAGCACTACAGTGACTTTTCTCACGACGTAAAGATTAAATAGTCGAATTTTTTAAATTGAATTACATACTTTAACTTCGTGCAGCACATCCGTTCCGAAATCATCCGTCACGCTGGACTTGCCCCAACCGATAATGGTGCACAACTGATTCGTAGGTAAGGGCTGCTTTGGTGCGGGTAAACACGCAATCCCTCTCGAAGGAGACGGGGTCAAGGTAACTGGTAAATGAAGTAGAGCCACATCGTTATCAACAGTATCGGCATCGTACTCCGGATGGATGGTCACCGAGTCCACCTACGCAGTTATAGAATTAATCAGCGGCGGCATGAAATTGTTTATCTAGCTCTTAACAGCGACACGTACCCTAAGCTCTAATTCCGTGCCTTCTTTCACCGTTAAATCGTGCTCTCCAATACGAACATAAAGGCGTTTTCTAATGCAATGCGCGGCAGTTAATACCCATCTTGGGGATACCAATGTTCCACCACAAAAAGCTTCCTGGAAAAAGAAAAGCAATTAAGTTTGGTCCAGACAATTATAAAACCTTTCTTACTCCTCAACCATTTGTAGGTATTCATGATTTATATTATTTACTGTTTCTAGGAAATGACATTTATTCGTTGTAAATGTACCCGAAATCGATTTAACACGGCCACTTGCCATGGCCAGCTTCCAGGTGCAGTCGGACGACCGCCGATAATTCGTGTGAAGTATGATAATCTGGATCCTTTATGAGTCGCTACTCCGCACTTCCAAATGTTTGAATTCTTCTCTGGAGCGAAGCTATCCACGGTATTAGGATTGAGTTCGAACTCGTCCAACACCAAGTCTAGAAAATCAATAAAAGCTAGCTACACATTTTTCTTATTAGTATTCAATGTTGAATTGAAATAGATTTACCATCGCCGTCTTCTTCGTGGCTACCGCGAATCTTTCGATGGATCCATCTTTGGCAGAAGCTACCTTCGACGTAGCAATAGGCGCTTTCTCGTATCACGTCGCGCTCGCAAATTCCCGGCTTTCTGCACCATCTAATACCACCAACAAATAGATATATAATATCAGTTTTGAACACGGTATAATTTTGAACGAAATAAAATAGTCCAATTGTTTAAGTTCAAGTTGTATGAACAGTATTAAAGAATATATCAAAGAAGAAAAAAATTAAACTTAAATTCTAAAAATTGGATTATTTTATTTCGTTCAGAATTGTACCACGTTCGAAATTGTATCACCTTACTCTTATGTAATCTTATACAAGTTTCTGTAATACCTATGACGTTGAGTAGTGCACAGTCTCGTGCAAGGCGACCATTTACTCCATTTTCCATATTGTCTTTTGGAGTTCTCCTTACTGTTTTTGCCTTTTTGCTTTCCATGCCTAGGCTCTGCTTCTTTAGGTACCTGTTAAAAATGCGCATTAGCAATCGAAAATCAAATATTAATGCATGCCGCGACTTACTTGAACGACGTGAAATCTTTCGTTTCTTCGTCGACGTCTCCGGCGCTGGCGTTGTTTGCAACGCCTTTGACGACCCTTTCTGTTATGTTCGCAACCACGTTCCTCCTGTACCACGACAATTCGTTAATAAAAAAAAATTCTTCACAATATCGTATAATTATGTACTTCACATATTTACCTTAAGTACAGTAGTCCCGCAATCTTTTTTTGATCGGCACTTCCTGACGCGATTTTGCATGCAGTGTCGATCGCACACCGACCATTCGCTCCAATTTGTGAAGTGCGATAGCTTTGTCACTCCTATCATCAAAGTAACATGCGAGAATATAGATTTTTTCGATCGTAGAAAATTTATGGAAAATCAATGACGCACATACACTTACTGTTCTTTGGCAAATGCTCTGCAGACAGCTGGTCGATCGAGTGAAGGCAGCTTACGTTGTTTTTAACTCCAAAGACGAATGTCTTATCTTCATTCTAAAATTTTTAAACATATGAACATACTTAATGATATAAATAATTTAGATTTTTTTTATTATTAAATCAAAATTTCAAGGATATAACAATATTCAATATGACAATTCTTTTAATTACTTTGAATGTTACTGTTATTTAATTAACATATTATATATTGCTAACTTAGTTTACTAAATTCTAGAGGAGATCGGGGACAAAAGTAACAAGGTACAATAGTAACATCGCCAATATTTCTGACACTATTTTGTTCCCGATCTGCCTTATTATTGAACATTCTAACGAATAGCAAGTTGCAGTCATATTACGTTTTAACCTTGTTGAAAGGATTAATGTATCAATGAAAATTCACGTCATATTATCTTGTCACTTGACACGCCTCTGTGTCGACAGCGGCTGCATACTGATATGATTACCTTAAAATTATCTGTCCTAGACCGAAAGAGTTAATAGATACGGCCTGGCCAGCACTCTATTTAGTTCTATCATTTAGTATGCTCCAAGGTTGTAACGCCCAAGTCGCGACATTAAACTCAATTTGCCCGCTGATAATGGCATCGCGACGTAACCGTCGTCGGCGCTAATCATGCGTTACACGATGTCACCGTGTCGACAAAGTACGTAGGCATAAAATTACTGTCATTTCGCTGTCGCGCCTTCTCGAAGCTCCTCGAAATCTATACTCGCTCTGAAATTCCGAACAATAGTTACTGATTGCAATCGCGATGATTCATTTATAGTTCATGAATTCAGATGCGATCAAAATGGTGCTTGAAACATTCTTTCATCAGCAACATTACTGTGCGTTGTTCAAAAATGATGCAAAATTTGATTACCTAATAGACTGGTTGCCTCGAAGAAATCTAATATCGAGTTTGTAATAGCAGAAAAGGAAATATATATAAATATTTTATTAAGATATATCTCTATATATATATATTATTTAGTTTCAAAGCTTGATTAAATTATTTTTAAATAATGCTTATTGATAATACTTTTTGGCAGAGTTGGGTAAGTTAATGTTTTTCTAAAACTAAATTAATTTAAAGTTAATAGCTTCTAAAATTAATAAAATTAAAAGTTGAAGGAATAAAGAATTAACTTAATAAAAGTTAAGTTAAGATTGAATTAAGTTTTAAAAAAAGTTAATTTTGAAAAAAATTATTTTCGAGATCAGACTGTCCTAATTTTTCTTAAAATGAGATTACTTTAAATAACACTTATATAACACTTATATTATAAATATAGATTATTAGGTAAATTTAATTTTATATTCACATGTAAGTGACTTATAAATAATAGAGTAACATCATGAGGCATTTTTGTAAAATCTTGCAAGGGAGAAGGGTATATGTTTGCATTATTTCTCTCTCTTTAACCTTTATCTAACTTTCTGTAACTCTGAAAAACGATTGTTCATGCACGTTTACAATTACATCGACTAGATATTTATTACAAAAAATATACGTAAAAATTTAGAAAATGGTTGGATGTGTAGTACTGTTCTACAACAATTCTTCATCTAAAGCTCATTTCATATTTACGTTGCTGAAATATAACGTTTATGGTACCTAAAATTAGTGTGATTCAAATATAAGCGGGAATTGACAAAATCTAGCG